AACGCAGCGTCCGAACATCCACGAGCGCGAGTAGAACGGCAAGAACGCCCAGAGCCCAGACCCCCGACGTCAGTGGATCAACCAACGATGGCAGCATCACGGACATCGTCATCTATAACGTCTTCTCGCGGCTCGACGCTTTGGGGGGTCGCATGACGAGTTGCGGAAACCTTGTCGATGGAATTGCGCCGCGGCGGGTTTCTGACCACGGGAAGCGCGCGTCGGCTCCATGTCGCAAGCGCCGACGGCAGGTCGGCCCAGCACGGCCTTGAACGGACGAGGTTAAACGTTCATGTTTTGCATCACACGCAGCGCGCTGCGTCGCGAGTGGCGGGCAGCGCCGGGCAGCGTCGAATGCCCACGGGGATCGCGACGCCAATGCCGCACCATCTTCGAGGAGAGGCTCGCGCCGCGAGGGGTCGGGCCCGTCGCGCGTCGACGTGCGCATTTTTTTTCGCGACTGGCGCGGGGCCGCTGATTCATGCGTGGGTTCGCGGCTTTGCGCGCGGAGCAATGGATGTGGAAGATGGCGATGGTTGTGTTGTTGTTGGCGGGTGGGTAAATTGGCGGGTCGGCGGGCGGGCAGGGGGAGGGGAAAGGCGCACGTGGGGCATGCGTTATTCGGTCAATTTTGGTGTGTGTGTGTGTGTGTGTGCGTGTGCGTGTGCGTGTGCGTGTGCGTGTGCGTGTGCGTGTGCGTGTGCGTGTGTGTGTGTGTGTGTGTGAGAGAGAGAAAGAGGCCATCCTCGCGGCTTCGGGAGGTTTCCCTGCGGCTTTGGGCGCGAAATCAGGGGCGCCCCGGGCGGCGGCGGGGGCGGGGCAGCGAGGGGGGGCGGCGAGCGAACGGGGCTGGGAAGAGGGTGGGCGCGCGCGAGCCTCCTCTCCCCCCCCCCCTTCCCGCCTCCCCGAGCCCCGTCCGCCCGCCTTCTCCGGGCGGGAGATTCACTGGCGCGGCTTTTCGAACCCGCCTGCTTTCCGCCCGTTTCCTTTCCGCGCTTTGAGCGCGTTTTGTGGCGCGCGCAGATATTCGAGATGCCCCGCCGCGGCGGGCCTGGCCGCCGCCTGGGCGCGCTCCGGTGATGGCGTCCCTGACCTCGGTGCGCGATGGCTCGCGCTCCGATCGGTCTGCGGCGGCCCTGGGTTTGGCCTCGTCGTTCTCCTTGGATATCGATGTAAAATGCGATTCATTGTTTGTTCTTGCGTTTTTTCCTGAATATAGCGGCGCGACGGCGCGACGCGCCGCGAGGATGAGACAGGAAGGGGGAGAAGGAGGAAGAGGAGGAAAAGGAGGAGGAGGAGGGGGAGGAGGAGCAGGGGGATAATTTATAATAGGAATACATGAACAACGAGCGTTAATTTGAACATCTAATCGGTCACAGTTGACGATTCATT